GAAAGGAGGTCCGTGCCGTGGGGAAAGGCATGACGAATCCTTTTTCCGAAACTCCTCCGACATCTCAGGCACTCTGGCGAGGCCCTCTTCCCACTGGGATGAGAATTCAGCGCCTGACCATTTTCAAGCTCACCCCCTTATCTTCTTGTATTCGTTTTTGTTCAAGGGTTCGAATCAACATCAGCATTCCCTCTGGGAATGAGATTTCGGGCACCTCATGTTTTTAAATAACTCATGACTCATGACTATTTTCACTGTGTCGCAGTTTTGCAGAGGTTCAATACAGCAGCTGACAATGCAGGCGAACTATTAGAGGGTCTGGTGGGTTTTTAGGAATTAACATCGTACTCCATTTAAGAAATTAAAACAAAAATCTGTGAGGTGGGAAATGGTGTCAGTATTGCATGGTTAGTCAAGTGACATGTGGCCCAGTTTCCTCGATTTTAACAACTGGGCCAACCATGATACGTACACAGTGTCCTGAAAAACAAATAACTGGAACAGAGTGATAACTACAGTATAAAATACATGCGTCAGGTATCGTCTGCTTATCAACTGGGCTCTCTGAAGCTGTCGAGTAACAGAGAGAAAACGGAAGGGCTCTCACTCTGGACGACGAGCAAAGCCCATAAGGAAAGAGCAGAAAATAACCCTCTGTCAACCCCTCGGATGCATTTGCACTCAGAAGCTCTTTTTTCCCCAGCTGCTGCAGTAAGAGCTCATCCAGCCGTGGAATTTACATAAAGAGAGCGAAAGAGCTCATAAATGCGCAAGTGGTTTCTAAAAATAAAGCTGTCCGGGCAGGGCTCTGTGCGGCACATGTTCTAGAAACAGTAACTCTCGCTGCCGAAACCTAACGAGAACTGAATCGGCGAGCTTGTCCTCCTTCCTATTACACAGTTCACAGAGCACTAGCTGGATTAGCTCTCCGAGTCACTCAGCTGCTACAGATGTGGTTTCATGCACTGCACTCAGGCTCTGGCAAGACCACAGCTCACCACATGAGTCTGCGGAAAAACAGATCAGCTTCTTTTCCTCATGACAACAGGCTAAAAGGTTCAGTAAGATTCAGTAGTGGCAAAGTGGTGTAGGTGAAGCAGCTTTCAGGTCCTGGTCTTTAATGATGAATAATAACCTACTTTATATAGTTCCTTTCATAGCACATCAGT